AACAATTGAACAGAAAAAGGGTATTTATATGAAAAAATAGTGATGGAGAAAAAGGTAAGTATAGTTTTAGATAGATTCGATGGAATTATAGTCTTAGTAAATGGATAACAGATTGGATTCGTGGTTGTGTAAGCCACTGATTAGGAAGTAAAGCAAACCCAATTATATGCATGTAAGGTACAAAGAATTAGTTCGAAAATTTTCCATTCGTCGGTAAAATAAATCAGAGTTTTTTAAGCATATCTTATTAGACATGCAAGGCACCAAATCTTTCTCTGAGATATTGACGTCAGGTCGCAAAGTTAAAAAATTCAGGATCATTCAGAATAGATAAACAGCATAATGTAACCCATTTAATAAGTAATTCATTAAACCATTAACATAATGATATTATACAAATGTATTGACCAGTCCTAAGCCAGAGCTTGAAAATTATATTTCTTAAGATAAACGAAATCGCAAGCATATTTCTCAGATAAAATCCAAATTTGCATGAGCCTACCAGACTGAAGATGTTTGATCCGGTAGGATGGCCAATGGTGGTGGCAGCTGGCAAAGTTCTTGCGGGCTGTGATTGCGGAAAAAAGAATCCTACCGGTGGCACCTGTCCACGTGTTGAAGAGGGAGCTGTAACTATAGCGGAGAAAGGCCCGGTACCTGGAAAGAGCGAGCTGCCGGTATTCACAAGATTAATGGAAGTGGAAGGAGAGGATGGCTTTACAGCAAGGCTTGCAACAGTTGAATGGGATGAAAGTGGCGATGTTATTGTCGTTGGTAAAAAAGATGAACTGTTAGGGGATTGACTAAAAACGAAGTTGCAAGGTTGTCCAATTTGCACTGATGTGGCTGAAGGAAAATGGGAAGACGCAGGACTAAAATTAGGGAAAGCACCGAAAGCCGGTTTTATTGTGCTAGAAGGAATAGTAAACGAATTCGAGTTGCACAGAAATGTGTTTGCTTGAGGAGAGTGGCAGAGCCCAGGTTGAAGTTGTGGCTGCTGTGAGGTCTCGTTCCAGATGAAGGCTGGTTTTGGGTTCCAAGACTCAGTCACCGGCACAGGCTAGAACACACACAAAAGATAATTAAAAGAGGTAACAAGAGCAAAATCAGATAGTGATCTAGTAAATGGAGTGCTGATCTCAATCTGCTATAAGGCACAGGAGATAAAGAATAAAGGAGTAAATTATTCAGGAGAATATAGTCTTAATAGAGTAAGTTGTAAAAGATTGCATCCAAAATTTGCTGCCAAAATATTTGAAGTCGGTGTTAAGAATAAGAAAAAGTTGTTAACAGAAATAGAGGGCCTCTGTTAATATGTCACTATAATATAGCAAGGATCTCCTGCTTATCGGAAGATCAATGGTCGCTCATCAATTGAGATTAGAATCTGTTGTTACTTGGAAATGTAGGGTGTTGGCATAGCGCAATGATTAAGATAAAGATAATAGAATACGACCGGTCTTATCTCTCTCAAGCGAAAGGCTGTTCTGTTCACATATTCTCGTGCTGAGAGGAGAGGGAAGCACTGAATTATGGCATATATACACATAAGGGAAAGGAAGAAAATAAGATGCGTCTAACCCAGTGGTTCCCAAATTTTTCCTAATCGCGGAACCCTTTTTCAATTTAAATTTTTCTATGGCGCCCTACCCTAAGTATGACTATTCGTAAGAGATAAAAAAATAAACTCGTGTATCATCATTATTTTTTTAAATTTATTAACATTCAATTTATATTTAATAATTAATGTAATTGATGAGCCTGCAAACCACTACACATTTCTTCAAATTGAAGCTTTTACAATATTTCGCGGCGCCCATGTAAAGAGGCCGCGGCTCCCCGGGGCGCCGCAGCGCACAGTTTGGGAATCAATGGTCTAACCTAAAACAGGTTTACTGAGTGACATTTTCAAGTGTTCAAGGATATATGTAAAACACTAGCAATAGACAACCTAGCTCACATTGCATTATGCCCCTCTTACAGATCAAGACCTTGCACCTATCCATTTTAGCGCCCAGTTGGAACAATATTTGTGCACATATTGTCAGCCTCAAAATTAGTCTAATATACAATTCACACCTTAGGGTGGATTTGACACCAATTTCCTGTTAGCTCCACCTCTCTGCA